TCGATCGCCCCATATAGAGATGCCAATGGTGTCTACAACAAATAATAATCTTTTAAAACAGCAAGTAGAATTTGTACTAGAAATTGATCTGACCACAAGATTGATCTGCATTATTCTGAAATCATTTTTTTTTCTTGATTAAATACTTTGTTATTTACATAGCTATTACCTGATTATTCTTTGCCAATGCTTGACTAAACATACGGGTGACCCTAGTTTGCACATTATTCGTAGAAGTGTTAAAATTTTTACATATCTGCGCCATCAACCGGGAAGCAAAATCGCGTAATGCCCAATGATTGTCTACCTCAGGTCTCATACACAATTGTCGAGAAACTATACAGGTTGCAACTGACGGTATCAATTCGTGAAGCTGCGAATCGAAATATTTTAATATATCAAAATGGAAATAATAGTTTATTAATACGTTTATAAAAGATGAAGGCTTATATTACATATTTCTCCAAATAAAGGCTTGGATTATCAAGCAGAGCTTTGACCATTCGCATGAGATAGATGAGCAGCGCAAGATGATTCTGTACAACGTTGACCCGCACTCCCTCCGCAATAAAAGTGCACATACGAGCCAACATTTCATGTAGACCTGGATCCGCCGAGAGCGATTGAAGAGCCTCTGCCCTACGAGCTTCATCAGACCCAACGCATGCTTCAGTTATTTCCTTGTAGTACAATTGCTGTTCCACACTGAGTTCGTGTGTTGCGAGCTGCTTTACGTGAACAGTTTCAATGTTCCGTAGCTTCTGACTTTTGCCACCACCACCTGGTTTACCAACGCCAATGTTTTGATTTTTACTTGAAAGCTTAATTGTCGGATCAACACTCTCCAATTTCTGGGCATCTGTTAAAAATTAATATAATTAAAAAATTAAGAGTACTTACAAATTATGTCCAAATTTTTTAAAATATGTTCTTAAATTTTTCTTTAATAACTTTCAAAAGTAAGAAGAAAATTTCTTATTATGACATTTTATAGAAATCAAGGAATCAGATAAAACCTTTTGATACTGGCGGTGGATTTTCTGGTATGGTAGGTTGGACTCCATCAATGCATAGCCAATGAGCTCGCAATGTAATTTCCAGAGGTAACTTTGGCCATGACTGTCCACCAGCTGTAGCTACAATCTCATTAAGGTCGATTTCTTTCTCCTCTACAAAATGCAATTCTCTACCGCCACCTGATGCAAAGCGGAATGGTATGTGATCTTTGGCGAAAAAACCATATGTTGGCTCAATGTTCTTAATTTTCAACGCATGATCTATGTCATGTGCAGTCATTCGTTGACGTTTTCCATGTCTCATGAATTTTGCAGCGTCCTATAAAAAAAATACAATTATTATAACTGTTCTATAAAAATATTTAATTCATGAATCACTGATAATACAGTGAATTTGTGTTTATAAACAGAGCAGAGGATTTGTATAATTAAAGCAGAACGTATACATAGCGCTTATTGAGTTAGAACGACAGATATTTTAATCTCTAAAGTTTTAAACTTTAACGCTTAATAACTTAATTCACAAGGCTGACAGCTACGTCTTTCTGCCAGATTCTTTCGTTTTGAATGAATTCGCGTTGAATGAGTAAATTTTTATTAAAATCTTAGGGAGGGAGGGAGGGGGATATTCTAAATAATTACTTAGAGATATACTATGCATTCTGTTTTCACGCTGACCTG